AACTACTTGCACTGTGCATTTTCTACAAAATTTTGGACATTAATGTGCTCTTGTGATACAAAATCAATATATATACTAAACATGTTGATTTTCACATTAATCACATGTTCTACTTTGGTTATATTTTATTTATTAATTATTAGACATTTTTGAAAAATATTGCTCAAATTCGTCCTAATTTAAATTTCCAAAAATCTCTTTTTAAATTTTTGAATTATATATATTAATTATCAAAGTAGTGTGTAGGTTAATTTGGAGAATAATTTTTAAGCCAATTAATTTCCATTTACTGGTTATATTTTATTTATTAATGTCATTATTATATACTTCTATTTAAGCCAATTAATTTATTAATATGTTATAGAAAATACTAATCCGATAATTTTATGGAGAATATAACAATATAGAAAATATGATTTATATTTATTTTGGAGAATCACACAATGTGTATGTACTCAAAATTTATCACTCCGTATATTATACTTTAGCAATATTACTTGAATTTTTTAATTTGAAAACTCATTCATTTGTAAATTCTTCTCCTATTTTAAGTGTGATTTGAAAGGTAGTTTTATTAGCAAATAAAAATGAATTTTTTTAAAATAATGATAAAATTACATCAATTATTTTTTCATTGTTATATCTTATGTTTAAAGTACATGGGCATTTTCATCGCATATTTTTCAACATGAACTATTGTTTTAATTGGGTATCTTATCAGAAAAACTAATGAGTATACTCTTATTACTAAATACTAAATAAATATAAAACTCACATAATTCTTTTGAAAATTCAATTTATTCTTTTATATGTTTTTTTAAATAAAAATAACTATTCTCGTTATGTAGAATATAAAAATTATATTGTGCATATGAATAAAATTGTACGAATATGAAATAAAATTACTTAAGTTACTTTGTCAAGAGAAGTTATACGGAGTATATTACAATTAAACTAATGGTTCTCGTATATTATCAGTGCATCACATGGATTTGACATATCGTATTACTATAAAAAGTGATGAATGGAATATGAACTATACAAAGAATTTCAAATATATGTATTTTATTGGAACATATTATATAAAGTATTTCAAAATAACGAATGAAAGTTTTACAAATTATGTATGGTTTTCTACAACAGAATTGATAAAGCATTATAAAATATGAAATGAAATCCAATATTATAAACATTCAAAATATTCCAATCAGTTTATCTTGACCGGAACCGCCGTCTGGCCGCGACGATTTGAGACAGTTCCCAGTGGGTTTTTCTTGATGAAATTTTGTAAGAATATTCTATATGAAGTTTAGATTATATCCTCAAATTTTAGCTTAAAATTTAATCGGGAAGTCAATTAAAATATTATTGAAAAACACTGCGCCACAATATGTATATATAAAATGAAGTATTGTTTAATACTTTATTTAAGAAATATTGCCCTAAAAGGGACTAAATTCTTCCTGAAACTCTTAAATAGGACTAATCATATTTTTTTGCCCTAAATAGGACTGGATTACCCATTTACCCTTATTCTTTCCCTTTCCCCTCTTCGTCACCGTTTCTTTTTCTCCCCTGCGCACCCCTGCGCATCTTCTCCGCCTTCCCCCCTGCGCATCTCCCCCTGCGCAATACACCTTCTTCTCCATTCCCCTTCGCACTGGAACAACCAAAGCTTCGAGCCCGCCGCCGCTGACGTGAAGTCCTCCGCCACTGCCCAGTCATAGCCATCATCGCCGCCGTCGCTGTCGCCGTCGGAGATCTTCGCTTCTTCGAAGGTAGGTTCTCTCCTTCCTCCCCTCTTCTCTAGTTCTCTCCCTCTTCTATTTCGTTGCAGATGCTCGATTTCTTCTTTGATTGGTAAAAAAACAAGTTCAACACTGAAAATGCCATCAAAATGGCATTCTTATTTTACAAAAATTTTGTATTTTCCTTTGAAAATGCCATTACAATGGCATCCCTGATTCATCTTTTCGTTGCAGGACCAAAGCTCTGTTTCATATTTGGTTGTTAAAAAAATTCCATATCTGGTTTGAAAATGCCATAAAAATGGCATTCACCCTCGCCAAAAATTTCATGTTTTTCTTTTAAAATGCCATTTAGATGACATTCTCAATTTATGATGGCATTTTGATAAAATGTTGGCATAACCGGCGTCGTTGGCCGGATCTGCAGCGGCGGAGGCCGGGTGTGCAGCGGTGGAGGTCAGATTTGTAGTCACAGCGGCCAAATCTGTAGGGGCGGCCGGGGGCTGGTGGCGGTGGCCAGATCTACGGTATTGGCGGCCAGATCTGCGGCGGATGCAGCCAGATTTGCAGCGGCGACCATTCTGCAGCAGTGGCTGTCAACGGCGGCCGGCGACCTGAGGCGGTCCGGCGTTCTGTCGGTGGCAGTAGGATTTCCAAGCTTCAGGGGTGTTTTTGTCCAATTACAATTAATAACTCCTATTTTGGGAATTTTTAAACTTTAGTCCTATTTTGGCAATTAAAGATGTGTTTACTCCCATTTAGGTAATTACCTCTTTATTTAACTGACTTCTCAATCGAATTTTAGGTTGATATTTTGTGGACATGATCTAAACATCATGAATAACATGCTCAAAAGATCTCATAAAAAACCACTGAGAACATCCTCCAATTATGGAGGCTAGACGGTGATTCTCCTCCGGAATTCTGGGGGTGAAGTTTTCTCCTTCGTAATATATACAAGGGAAAATGGTCAGATAGGTCCTCGAATTTACATAAAAAAGTCAAATAAGTCCTTATATAAGAGGTTCTATCTGGCCGTCACCATTTGGGGTGGTTCTCGGTGGAATTTTTTGATGAAATTTTTTGCGCATTTTATTGATTATGTCTAGTTTACTCATATCAAATTTCAGCTAAAAATTCAATCGGGAAGACATTCAAATAAATTCTTGAAGATAACTGCGCGGTTATCTTCAAGAATTCATTTGAATGTCTTCCCTATTGAATTTTTAGCTGAAATTTGGTATGAGTAAACTAGACTGAATGAATAAGACGCAAAAAAATCATCAAAAAATTCCACCGAGAACCGCCCCAAATGACGACGGCCGGACAGAGCCTAAATAAGGACTTATTTGACTTTTTATGTTAGCTCGAGGATCTATTTGACTCTTTTCCCTATATACAAACACTATGAATTTAGGATTTAATTGCAATTAATTTAATGAATATTCATTATTTGGACTCAATAGCAATTTAATTAATTGACAATTCAATTTCAATTAAAAGGTTGTACTTTATTATTAAGCAAGTAGATTGATTGACTTCTTGGTAAGGTTCAAGATTAATTATTATAGGGTCATCCGAGCTCAAAATCTGTTGGAGCTCTATTATGTAGGAGTTTTGAATTTTGGTGTTGCTTTTACCATTCACTTGTCCCACACCGGAGAAGGTTGAGATTCTTCTTGGCATTTTTCTATATATTAGAATTCTCGCACAAGATGCTTAGAAAAGGCATTTGTGGGCTTTGAGGCTAGCAAAAAGTTGATGTGGCCCAGATAATATGCCTGTGTAAGTCGCACGCCTTTTCCGCGCATAAGGGCTATGCGATAGCGCTGGGAAAAACTGAATCGAATCATAGTTTGAATCGGTTTTGGTTTTTACTTTTCAAAACTAAATAGAACAAACCAAAATAATTAAAATATGAGATTTATTTGTTAATAGATACACTAAACTTAATTTATCCTAATTTTTCTTGTGCTAGAAAAATAATGTTTGTGTTATGTTTAGTTTAGTTTAGTTTAGTCTATAAGTTTATTTACATATTCATTGTCTATAATAATTTAGTTATATTGATTTATTATGTCTTTTATGTAACTTAAAGATTTTATGTTGATAAAATAATAAAAATATTCATCTTAATCATATCACATAGAACGTATATATTCATGAACTTTTTCGAACTAGTCACAAACAATGTTTATTAATAATATATACACTTTTATCTCTTTCGACATACTCATATAATTCAAGACATTTGTTTCTTCTCATTTTTTATTTTATTGTTCTAGTGTGTTTGCATTCTTTATGTAATATGTTTGATTTCTCTAACTATTATATCAATTTTAAATAAATGACAATTTTTTTTGGTAAAAACCAAAAAATGGAAACCGAAGCAAAACAAACTGAATCAATCAAAACGTGGTTCCAAGTTTTGGGGTGTAAAACCAAACCGAAATAAAACCAAAATTTCAGTTTGACTCTATATTTTATTTTAGGTGAAAAAACCGAATCGAAAGAACCAAACTCACCCCTATTATGCGACGTGTTGAGTGAGCGCCTAACTGCTCTGAGCTATTAATGGTGGTGAAATCGTGAAACATGAGCCTCAAGATTATGAAAAGTCAAAATATGGTTATCACACAGCCAAATAGGAAGAGAAGGAAAAGATCTTTTGGTGTAATTTTACGAAAAAAAATTGCCCTAAATAGGAGTATAATATTTGGCATTCGAAAATATCACTACTATCAAAATACTGTCATTAATAGAAGTAAATATCTCCATGTTAATGACTAATACTGCAACTATGACTAATGGATCCAATATGACAGTAAATATTGTCATATTACTATTACTTCAAGAAGAAAAACATAACAATCTTATTTTGAAATTTAAAAACATATTTACTTCTCTTTTGAGAACTTTCCCATTCTACCACTATAATAACAATATCCAAATCTTACTTCCAAAAGATTTTAGGATAGCCTAATATAAATCAGGAGCAGTCCTTGGGGGGGCAAGGAGGGCAGCGGACCTAGGCCCAAAAAATGAAAAAAATTTAGGTCTATGTTTAGTTTTTTATAATGTGTGTGAGTAGGATGAGTTTTAAACCCTATACTAATGATTTAGGCCCGCCCTGACATGAATCAATTTATAACATTAGAGCAAAAAAAGAAAAGAAAGATGAGAACGATATATATAAAAGATATAAGGTAATATAAAGATAAACATAAATACCCGTAACTCGTATAAGATAAAATTTTTATTGATATATAAATTTTAGTTGCTAGCAGAAGATTAATTTATTTAAGTTAAAATATGAAAAACAAGTTTATTCGAGTCTTGATATACTAACGTGCGTGCGACAGTATATACTCCTTATATATATGTTACAACCAACAACTTAATTGCAACGTAGTTAATTCGTGAATATAATTGTGATGGAGCTTAATTAATTAATTATTATAAGATCGATGGATGGATCAATATATAATTAATTAATTTCATTAAGTACGTAATTAATTAAGTGATCTTGGCAAATTCTAATGTTTTCTTGCCTTGAAGCTTGTTGGTGACATAGTGTTTGCTGTAGTCTCCGTGGTTGTATGTTCTGTATCTGGAGGGGTTGCTGCTTTCATCCACAAGCTCTGGCAATGGTCCCAATTCTATATCGTAGCTTGGAGCATAAAATGTCACTATTGAGAGCCTGTCTTTTTCTTGCTGTGTCACTGCTCTATGCTCCACACTTTTGTATCTTCCATTCGTTAGTACCTGCATATAATATGACCCAATTTCATTTCATTGGAATATATTGGGTGATGGATAATTCTATTCTAGTACGTATATTTATGGAAATAATAATAATAATAATAATAATTGGCTTCCTTAATTAGATGGAGAGACATTAGAGGCCGTTTGGTAAACACCGTTTATTGGCTTATCAGGCTTATCAACCAACTTTTTCACTAAACACGTAATTTTTGCTTTCGCGCGTTGAATTGTGTAATAAGCAGAAAAAGTAAGGCTGAAGTTACTTTTCTGGCTGTATTGGCTGAAGTTACTGTAGATGACCATTTTAGCTATTTTTACATATAATTTTTTCTTTATTTTATTAATAAAAAATATTTTGAAAGTATTTTTTTCTTAAATCAGCAGAATCAGCCAATGCAGCCACTTCAGCCAGAACTTCATAAATTTCAGCAGAATCAGCCAAATCGGATGATTTTCGTGCTACCAAACAGGCTCTATATGTAGTTGGTCACATGGTATTAGGTAGGTACTACCCCACTAACATTGAGACAGGAGGGGTAGTGCAATAGGTTTAAATTGATAAAGTAAGAATAAATTAAGATGATTTACAACTACAAAAACTTTACTAAATTTAGTATCGAAAATTTTTAGCGAGACAGAATGAAAATGATAGATGAAACAATCTTAATGAGACGTAGGAAGTGTTATATTACGTAGTATATTATACTAAATTATTTACGCGTGTGTTATAGGTAATAAGGTAGAAATGGCTTGAATGCTTGATTTCAATGGGTTGAGATGTATATTTGCAAAGTCTTTTGATTCAGGAGTCTAATCGTAGAACCACTAATAATTTGATGACTTATTTACTTCCTTTCTCTAAGATAAATGATTTCGAGCTTACACGAATATATATCTTTATACAAAATACAATTTTTTATAACTCAAAAGTAATACACTAGTATATACAGAGTATATAATACGAAGTATTTGTTTGAAATGTTCATATAGAAACGATCTGGTCAATGTTTTAAGGGCAATTCTTTTGTACACAAAGTTTGTACGTATATTGTACACGGTCTGTGTTCACAAGCATTATGGCATAAAATTTAACCCTTTTTCAAATGAATTTCCTATTAGGCCTGTCAATGGGTCGGGTCTAGATCCGGACTCGACCCGGACCCATTTTTTTAATGGGTACGTGTCTATATTTTATTCCGTTTACTTGGACCCGGATCCGGACTCGTTAGTATTTAAATAAACGGGTCGAGTATGGTACATATGATTCCGACCCATTAAGGACCCGGACCCGTTAAAAAATTCTTATTTGTATACACAACCACTAATACATAATGTGATTAGTTACAACACTTTAGATAAAATAAAATATACATATATACATAATAATACATAAAGTTATTAGTTGTGATTCATCAATAAAAATATACACATTAATACATAACAACTATATATAAGCGACACTGATCGAGATAATAAGATACCCTAAAACTAATGCTCATTTTGGCATTAAATACATACTCATAAAGTGTGTATTAGGCTCGGTAGGAAAAGCACAATATTTATTACTATTATTATATCAATATCATATAAAATACTACATCTGATTTTATACTTTTAGTAGTTCAAGAGACCTTTTTATGACTTAATTTCTAGTTTATTCTACGAGTTTATTCTAGTTTATGCCTGTACAAGAACTGATACTTTATTAGATAAAAGTACTAATTTTCTATGAGAGACCTTGATTTTTTTTTTGAAAAGTGAAGATATATTTTGCTTTTGAATTTGTACACTTTGCTTTATATTTCACATACATGTCTTCTTATTTTCACAAAGTTTATAATGGTGTGTGTATCATACTTGGCGGGCGGGTCTACCCGAGCCGATTCCGAGACCCGTTGGGTCTGGGTCCGGGTCCAAATTTTCAGACCCGCCGGGTAAACGGGTCGGGTTCATTATTAACTTAGCGGATCCGGGTCTGGAACACTACGTTCTGAGCCGGACCCGACCCATTGACAGGTCTATTTCCTATGTACACAAGCATTATGGCGTAAATCTCCGCTTTTTTCAAACGATTTGTCTATGTACACGGGCAAAGGTGTGTATACAATATATGTACTAATTTTGCGTTCAAATGTATTTTTCCATATTTGAATAACAAAAAAGTTATGTTATGACCCACCTGAATGTACACACGCACTAGGCGAGCGTGCGTAGATCATAATCCACGGTTTTTGTGATATGTCCTCATACAAGTATGGGGTGTCTGGATCTTATTCTTAAAACTGCTTTTTCATTTGAACACAACACACTACACATTTTACACTATCTCTACTATCTTCCTTTTAAAACTTATGCCAAACCCTACAAGGACAATTATTGGAGAACGGACGGAGTATATTTTTACAGAGGATTTTTGTAATTGGATTGAAATTTCCCCATCTTGTCTAATTTGATATGATCTGTGTAAGTATGTTCAGATCTAATCTCATCTGAACTGGTCTATATTAGTCTGATATGATCTGATAGATCATTGATGTAAGTGCATTTTATAACTGCCAAAGTTTTCTCATATGATATATTTAAATCATGTCAGCCTGGTCTGATTTAAAATTGATCCATTTAAATCAAGTGAAAACGAATTATATTGTGGTCTGAGCCTGAAATTAATTCGAGTGATAAGGGAGCGTACATTTAAATTACTACACAATGGTGGATTATATTATAGTTTTCCGGGATTTGAGATAATTAATGGATTGTTTCTTAAATTTTATTGGAATAGCGCATAAAATGCATAGATATTGCACAAAAATCAATAGGATGAGGGTCCCAATTTTATTATTGCGCATGTATTCCGTTTTTTTCATTACATTATTAGCTAGGGTCCCAATCAAATGGTTACTCTCTATCAAGAATGGCCCTCTCTAGGGAACCACCGATACTGAATATTGAAATGACATATACTATCCTCCCCATCACATTCATTGCAACATTGGAATATATACATTATTCATGTACTTTACTTTAACTACATTTTATTTATTAATGTATATGAATTATTTTTTTTGAAAAATATTGTTAAATTCATCTCATTACTAAGTTTTATAATCTGATTTTTATTTTATTTATAGTAATACGTATATAATGTGTCACCACTAAAATTGAATTGCATATGACTTCTCTTTATGTCTTTTTCGCTACTACAAGTCTACAATTGCATTGGCCGGTTTCGACGGGAGGTCCCGATCTACCTTTAATTTCCAAACCGCACAATAAAGGGGAAAACAACGACTAGATTTATGGAAACACTCCCTCATGGAATTATATCAAGTATAGTGAGGCCTTCCACCAAAAAATGGGGTTGGAGAATGGGGTTGGAGAATTTAGAATAATGTGTGACCAAATTCACTCCATTGAGTATTGAACATTGGACTTCTGATAAATGAAGTGAGTCGACGATCAGTTGAGCTGAATCGCTTACTTAAACAAATACTTTGTGTCTCAATTTTATTAGTTTCTTTTATTTACTATTCTTTTAATCAATCAAGATGTTCGTTATTGGATTGAATTTCTCTGATCTTGCTTGAATTGGTTTAGCCTATTTTAGTATATGTTGCTTGTTTGTGTATTTTATACTATGTAAATGTCAAAGTCTGAGCTAGCTTGTTTAAGTATATTTTGAGACCAAAACTAATCCAAATAAAAATATTCTCAATCCTATTGCTACTGGTTTTATGCTCCGTACTATGTACAACTTTTGGTGTAATTTTTTTTATGTTCAATTGAAGACATCTTCACTTTTTTGTGATTTCCCCGGTAGACACATAAAACTTATACTCCATCCGTCTCCCTAATATTGGGATTGAAGGGAGTGATGTGATTTTTAGAAAAAGTAGAATTATGTGGTTGATAATAAATTGATAAAATAGAAATAAAATAAGAATGAATTAGAGCCGCACAAATGTTACAAATTATGATATGGGACAATAATATGTGGACATCCAAAAATTGGACAATTATAAGGAGACAGAGGGAGTATCCTAATCGATAAGGGTAATGGTACATGCATTGTCCTACCCCATTTTTCTATCCAACTATGTTACCCCATTCTTCTCAAAGATAAACTTCCACTTTGACATGGACATCAGCACATGATTTTCCTTGCATTTTTGTATCCAATGCCTTGTCCTTCTGCAAAGAACCGGCTTCATCAACGTCGTCGACATCAAGGGACGGGCGTCCAACGCCGTTCTTCTTCTTCAGACGGGCGTCATCATATTCGGACCGGCTTCATCAGCGCCGTCGTCATGGACAGGCGTCCAACGTCGTCCTTCATCTTCAGTTGAGCGCCAACGCCTTGTCCTTAAGCAAAGGACCAACTTCACCAGCGCCGTCCCTCATCTTCAGACGAGCGTCATCAGCATCGTCCTTCATCTTCAGACGAGCGCCAACGCCTTCTCCTTAAGCAAAGGACCGACTTCATCAGCGTCGTCCCTCATCTTCAGACGAGCGCCCAACGCCGTCCTTCATCTTCAGACGAGCGTCATCAGCACCGTCCTTCATCTTCAGACGAGCGCCAACGCCTTGTCCTTCAGCAAAGGACCGACTTCATTAGCGCCGTCCCTCATCTTCAGACAAGCGCCCATCGCCGTCCTTCATCTTCAGACAAGCACCAACGCCTTGTCCTTCAGCAAAGGACCATCTTCATCAGCGTCGTCCCTCATCTTCAGACGAGCGCCCAACGTCATCCTTCATCTTCAGAAGAGCGTCATCAGCGTTGTCCCTCATCTTCAGACGAGCGTCCAAGCCTGGTCCTTCATCATCGAACGGGCCTCATCAACGCCGTCCCTCATCTTCAGATGAGCGTCTAAGCCTGGTCCATCACAGGACCGGCTCCGCCGTCCCTCATCTTCAGACGAGCGTCCAAGCATGGTCCTTCATCATCGGATCAGCTCCGTTGTCCTTCATCCTCAGACCGACGTCAACGCCTTTCCCTTCATCTT